CGCAATTACAGCGATCACATAAGAGAGGCGCATGGTTTGTTGGCTCGGAACTTGAGGGCTGGACAGCAACTTTGGAAATGAGTGTCGCTTTCAGTCGACCTATGTTTGCTGTGTGCTGCACAGCACCCTGTGCATCCGGCCATTCACAAGGTATAAAAAGCATTCTCCAAGATCGGTGGTGTAGCGGCATCGACACCTTGTCCTTTAGGTACTGTATTTAAGCCATTCATTGAACCTAGTACAAATGAAATGGACCTCTCTCAAAAAAAAAAGACAAGATCAGAGGTACCGCTGGTTCCCGGGGTTCTGCCGGTTTTATTTCTGTAATACTTCTTAATACGCGAATAACTTGTATACGCTCATGTGTTACTCAAAATTTCCTTGCGCGGTTCTTCGATTGAATGCACACACAATAGCGCAAATCTGTTATTGACTTGCGCTTGAGCTTAAATCCAATTAAAAACGATCTGGGCCGTTTCAAAATAACGGGAAATATGTAAGCAAGTGAATCATTGAAAGCGACCAGAATGACGTCAGAGCTCACGATACTGGTAAGTGCATTTTGTAGCATCCTTCTATCAGCTAATTTTTGCTACAGGATTCTTACACGATGCCATCGGTAACAAAGCAAGTCGAGCTTTAAAACGCGTATGTTTTGAGTTGCGTTTCTAAAACAGATATGTGTAAAAGAGACGCAATCATCAGCATTTTTTTTATCAGCCGGGGCGTTCGAACGTGCGGTACAATCAACACGACAAAATTGCAAAAACACCGTTCGAAACGGTTTGCAACACGCTCAAACGCACAATAGTACCTTTCGGGGCGGGGCGACGCAGCTATGGCGGCAACTAAGGCGAGCGGGTGCGAGGTCGCGTAGCCGCAGCAAACATGCGCGGGGAGCCCGCGAAGCAGGGCCGCGCGGTATTTGCGGAGGCGATCCCTCACCAGCGAGCCGCGCATTGCACCTCCCAGGTGAGAGAATTTATTAATCGCGAGCGAAGCGAGCCCCAGCCAAGCTAAGCGCGGCTGGTAAAGACCTCTTACATTATATAATGCCTTTTCGCAGGAGAGCGGGCTGCTCTTACAAATGCCAAGTCAAAACAAATCTTAGGTGCTATCCTGCAAAACAAGGTGTTTTGGATGTGTTGTCAATCAACACGTATTCTTTATAAGATACATCATGCTGTACATGCAACGGGCAGGTTGGACTGTCAACCGCGGACTACCAAGAGCGGTCACTACCTTAGGGATTCGTAAGAAGACACAGCGAGA